TTTATCTCTCTGTATATATATATATATATCTCTTTCTCTCTCTCTCTCTCTTTCTCTATAAATATAAATATCTCGATCTCTCACTCTCTTATGATATCTATCTCTTTCTATCTCACTCTATCTCTATCTCTATCTCTATCTCTCCCTCTCTCTCTCTCCCTCTCTCTCCCCTCTCTCTCTACTCTATCTCTATCTATTCCTTTCCCTCTATCTTCCATTTCCTTCTGTTTGGAGCCAGAAAGTCATTTACTCATTTACCTTAACACAGGGCTAATGCCCTTCTGGCTGTTAACCAATGATATCTACATCATGGGCTCAGGCATACTTGACAGAAGCTTCTGGTTAAAGGGATTTAAACCCCGTTCCTAGTATTACCATCCCCTAAAATTCTGTTTATGCTATTCTGTATACGTTATTTTACTTGAATATCATCTGGGGCCTAAAAGATGTTGACCGACACTGACACAATGTCCTTCTGGCTATTAACATACAGTATTTTGTAAAATGAGTAGAAATTGCCAGAAGGAAATAACCTTTGAATGGTGCATTTGAAGTTCATGCCTGTAAGATGATTACAGGATATCACACAGAGCAAACACCCAACTTGGAGTCGTCATCAAAGATTTGCAAAAAAACATTCAATTTGGTCTGGAGTTCATGGTGATTGTTAGCGGCAAGCAGAGACTCTTGGAGTTACGGTCAAGCATCTTCATCAATCATGTAATATTTGCACAGATAAGCCGAGACTAAATTGAAATTCTAAGAAATTGTTAGTGATTGATGAGAGGGATCTGAAGATCGCATAAATTAATCTTTCTGTAACATTTCCTCTACTGGGAATTGGAAAGAAAACTTTCATGATCAATCACTACAGCTTGGCCTGTCAGTTTGATGCTTAATTTAGTCAATTATTTCTACTCATATGTTTAAATTTACCTTGCATTTTATATTATTGCATTACCTCTATACCTTTTGCCATGGAATTTTTTTTAAAGAGACTTTTTAGTTTCCTTTAATTTGCTATCTGTTTTTCAGATCTCCTGGTTTATTTTGATGATCAGATTTTTTGAAAAACTCTTTCTGGCTCGGTATTTATCGATTTTTCTAATTGTTTGCCTCTCTCCATCTCACCTCTTCCGCCTGACCCTTTCTCCATCTCACCCCTCCCCCTAACCCCCCCCCCCTCTCTCTCTCTGTCTGTCTCTCTCTCTCTCCCCCTCTCTCTATCTAAAACACACACACTCACCCCTTTCTCTCTCTCTCGCACAACACTCACACCCACACACTCTCTCTCTATCTCCCCCCTCTCTCTCTCTCCCTCTCTCTACCTCTCTCTCCCTCTCTCTACCTCTCTCTACCTCTGTATCTCTATCTCTCTCTCTCCTATTTTTAAAAAAATCTCTATCTCTCTCTCTCTCTCTTTCTTTCTCTTTCTCTTTCTCTTTTACACCCTCTCCCTTTTTTAAAAATTTCTTACTATACTCTGTTTTTTCCTTGCTTGGTGTGAATTCAAATTAAGCTGATTCCACCATGACAGGCCCTATAGCCCCGGAGTGACAGGGCACTTGCTTTGCGCTGGTTTGCTTGGCGTGATCTCGCTGCCGACTGCTCCCGGCGAAACATCGTCTTAATATCCTGTCCCGTTGGACCACCCCCTCTGGCAAGGTCATTTCTTGCGCAATCTCATCTCCTATTAATCCTCTGCTTCCTGGGATTCATCAACCCCTCATTCAGACTATCAAGATTCATTGTATAGCTACACAAGAAGACATTATCATTCCTGTCTAGTCGGAACATTATATAACAAAACATGTAATGTAATTGATCTTTATTTCGTTTATCATAAAACATTATAAAAAACATATAAAATACAAAAAAAAGCGTACAAGTTAAAGAGAAACATTTACAATAGAATACAACAACAACAACAAAAATGTCATATGAATGTGGAGACAGCTAGGAAAGCCAAAGGCTTTATTGGTGCTGCCACCGAAACAGTAATACAGTATGATAAAAGCAGATGTTTGCGCCTGTTTCCGGCAATGAAAACTTGATAAACAATGAGGGCCTACTTCTGATGTGAATATTGTATTAAACAAAAGCTGTTTAACTGGGCGGGGCATATCTGGATGCTCAATGATGATTGGCCAGCTGTCGACTCTTCAAAATCTAGTCTCTTTTCATGATGATTTTTTCACATGCATATGCCTCTTTCACAATATGACGAATCTTTAAACAGTTCTAGATACAATTCTGTTTCCACATGCATACTCCCCTTGACTATACCTTATCATATATTTCTGAATTCAGATTTGGTATAACTTTCCTCTTGTCTGAACTGGCTCCCCAGGTTACTATCCAAGGAGCTGGCACCAACCCCTTGGGCTGTTGACGGCAGGAAGGTGTTGTGTGGGATTGAAAACATTGATTTGATCTTTATATGATGAACCCTGTAATGATGAAGGATGGTTAGTGGTCTGTGAGAAAGAGAGAGAGAGAGAGAGAGAGAGAGAGTTGGTAAATGAGGATCCAGGGATTGATAGCCCGCATTCTGGATCGCGAGATATAGAGTGCTCTTGGTTAGGTAGCCATAGATAACAAGGAAGTCCTGGGTTCAAAACCATGCAGGTCTTTCCACTAGTTTCCTTTGGTTAGGTATCAACTCTTTGTTTGCAAAGAACTTAATCCCGGACTCCCAAATTGTTTGGTATAGGAACTTGCATAGATACTGTGACAAAGGTTAATTCAAGCTACCCATTGCATGCTCTGAAAGTTGTCTAAAGTAGGAAAAGTGGTGGTGCTCAATTCACCATGTGCTTCAGATAGGCCTGGTGCCCATGTCACTCCTTTGCAGAAGCAGTTGTTGCATTGGCTGTCAATCAGACAACGTATAGTGTTCAAGATCTTGACTATTGCATACAAGTGTCTTCAAGACAAAGCTCCCACCTATCTTGGCTCATTCATCATACCTAACCATTCTGAAAGACCAGGGGGGTGTTTCACAAAACTGGTCATCAGTGACAAATGACAGTTTTTGTTATAAGCTAGTGAAATCCCTGCTTCTGATTTGTTATCAGCAGATTTGTCACTGATTTTTATGCCTCCGCCACCGAAGGTGGTGCCGGAGGCATCATGTTTTCGGGTTGTCCGTCCGTACGTCCGTCCCGTTTGACCGTTATCACAATATCTCAAGAACCATTTAAGATTTAAACTTAAGACTCGGGAATAGTATTTATCACCATAGGAAGACAATCTGATTAGATTTTGGAGCACGTAGGTCAAAGGTCAAGGGTCACAGAGGTCAACTTATGAAATTCCATACATTGAGATCGTTATCGGGATATCTCAAGAACCACTGGAGAATTTTCACTTCAAACTTAATGATAGTATGTATCACCATATCATAATATCTCAAGAACCACTGGAGATTTAAACTTCAAACTTAATGATAGTGTGTATCACCATAGGAAGACAATCTGATTAGATTTTGGAGCACGTAGGTCAAAGGTCAAGGGTCACAGAGGTCAACTTATGAAATTCCATACATTGAGATTGTTATCATGATATCTCAAGAACCACTGGAGATTTAAACTCCAAACTTGTTTAAATTGCTCTATGGCGGAGGCATCATTTTCGACTGCGTGCAGTCAAAATTCCATCTAGTTGTCATTTGTCATTGAAAAAAGGGCTTTGTGAAACATCCCCCTGGCATTCATTCACGTTCAGGCCGCACCATACGCCATGTGCCCAGAACAAACAGTATGAAGGCTGGTGATAATGTTTTTCAGGCCTCTAGCTAAACCGTGACTGTAGAATGTCCTATCATGATTCGTCCGCATGTTGCCTTCATTAGGTGTTTTTAAAGAAGGCTCTCAAAATTCTGCTATTTAATGATTATCGTCAACTTTTGCTTCATGTATGCTAATTCGTTTGAACTCTGTGAAAAGCTGTGAAAAGGTTTAATATGTGTTAGAGCGCTATATAAATGACTTTGTTATTATTATTATCGTTATTATTATTAATGATAATAGTAATAATGATAATAATAATTAGATCAATTTATATAGCGCAGCTACTCTATAAATATATTCTACTGCGCTGTGATGAAAGCAAAACTCCCAACAGTGGCCGATGATCCACATGCATATATTGAGTTGGAGAACTATCATCATCACATCATCTTGCCTTGTTCCTGTCCATTTAGACTGAAAAGACGTTTTCAATGAGTTTCATCCATCAATATGTCTAATTAGGGAAGGCAAGAAATAAAATGGAAAGGGGCAGGGGGGAGGTGAGGTCGGAGATGTTGTAATTATGTGCCCCATTTCCCAAGCTTGAACCCTCATCGATGTTGACTACATTCTTATGTTGACTGGAAACAGTTTTCCATCCTCATCTTTAATTCATGACATTGTCTGAAATTCCAGAAGTCTTCCCATTGAGGAGAAAATGCATCATTCTTGGACTATTTTGAGAGCACTTGGGAAGGAGCATTAAAAAAATCTTTTCGAGAGATTTGGTTGAATTGTCTAGAGAGGTCAATGACTTCTATAACATTTAACAGCATTTGAGGGCAAGTTACGATGACAAAAATAGCTTTTAGATTAAGGGAGGGATTGAAAGGAGTAAGATGCAATTTTTTGAAGAGAAGTAACTAGTAAAATGTATGAAGAAAAGTAACTAGTAAAATGTATGAAGAAAAGTAACTAGTAAAATGTTTGAAGAGAAGTAAGTAGTAAAATGTTTGAAGAGAGGTAACTAATTGAATGTTTGAAGAGAAGTAAGTAGTAAAATGTTTGAAGAGAAGTAACTAGTAAAATGTTTGAAGAGAAGTAAGTAGTAAAATGTTTGAAGAGAAGTAAGTAGTAAAATGTTTGAAGAGAAGTAAGTAGTAAAATGTTTGAAGAGAAGTAACTAGTAAAATGTATGAAGAAAAGTAACTAGTAAAATGTATGAAGAGAAGTAACTAGTAAAATGTTTGAAGAGAAGTAACTAGTAAAATGTATGAAGAGAAGTAAGTAGTAAAATGTTTGAAGAGAAGTAACTAGTAAAATGTTTGAAGAAAAGTAACTAGTAAAATGTTTGAAGAGAAGTAACTAGTAAAATGTATGAAGAAAAGTAACTAGTAAAATGTTTGAAGAGAAGTAACTAGTAAAATGTTTGAAGAAAAGTAACTAGTAAAATGTTTGAAGAGAAGTAACTAGTAAAATGTTTGAAGAAAAGTAACTAGTAAAATGTTTGAAGAGAGGTAACTAATTGAATGTTTGAAGAGAGGTAACTTATTAAAAAAAAAAAATAACCTGATAAATGTGTAAATAAAGTGCAAAGAGGAAATTTTCTTTTCTAGTTGTTTGTGATGTGCAAAATTAGGACAAGATCTCTTTACTATAAAGCTATAAGGGCCACAGTGAAAGTGAAAAAGAGAGCCCCCCAAAAGGATGATCTATTGTTAATGCATAAGGAATATCATCAAATATAGTTTTGCTTCTATATCTTCCCAAAAAAATCTGCCATTCAATTCATGTAAGCATTTTTCTGAATCAACAAACCCAATACTTTCAAGTATCATTACTTTGGAATTACTAACAGACATGGAAAATTGAATTTCATCAGAAAAAAATTGAATGTAATAAATTCACCCAATTTCATTTGATAGCATCCAGCATTTATTATTTCTCCAGCATAAAAATCACATGATCAATTTACTTTCCAACATTCCGCAAACAATCATCATGAAGCTAATAATCTTGATGCCACGGAGACAGAATTAAATCTGCCAATGCACGGAAATTGGGAGTTCAGTTACCTTCAGGTGGGCCTGTGGCCAATTTGGAGTCATGACGACAATTGGCTTGGAAAAGGATTTCACATCTAAGCAAGATTGCCAGTGTAGAGGCTATAGATAGTTACTGTCATAGATTGTTTGCTGTAGGATATGATGTGCGTCTGAGACACTGCCCTGGTCAATTTTTATTTCCTGCAATAAAAAAAAATCCTGTAGTTCTTTCAGGTAGTTGAACCTATAAGAAAGTTTATTGTATCAGTAAGGATTTTTGTTTGTTTAAGAAAAGTAATAATACAAAGATTTTTGTTGTGAAGGAGAGGCATTAAGATGCTGATGGATAAGATACTTTTGCTTGTTCTTACAATGTCTTCAAATGATTTTTATCAGATAATTGGAGGGGGCTTAAATTTTCTTGGAAAGCCAGTTTAAGAAAACAATGACAAATGAAATTATGTGAGTGTGCCTTTATATTAGTAAGCATACAGGACACTCTCAGAAAACTCATGCTTTTCTTCAGTCCGCTGGCTATTCCCTTTTTAAAGTCTTGGATATATAAAGCTGGTGGAATTTCCATGAATGCTCTCCCAACAGACCAAATCCAAACTGACTCCATACCAACATATTCTTGGCCATTGTGGTATCGTATTATTTTGTTTGGTCAGTTGTCAGTCTCTTGACAGCTAGTTCAACATTCGTTGAGACTGAGGTTTTATGAAGTGAATGAATATTTTACAAGTTTAAACAATTTGGTAACGGTGTCTTCAGCACAACTCTCCTTTTGTTGATGCATGGCGTCTTTAGCAGCTTGAGCGTTCTTTACAGAATGAATAAGTAAACACTCTGAAATATAAATAATTAAAAAAAGAGAGATCTTAGTCACATTTTGACAGATAATGTGATCTTTAGAGCATGAAGTCTTTCCATTTAATTCTTCTTCATCGTTCATCAGAGCATTTGAGATGAGTTTAGCTCTGTCTCAGAGGAGGTGCCTGGAGGTAGGCCATGGTTACGAGACTTGAATAATGATGAGGAGAAGACGCCATTCTCTTACCATGTGATCTTTAGGGACTATACAATGTGATAGATTATTTCCTTTCATCAATTCCAGAGGAAATTGTAATGAGTAGGGTTGTTTATCAATTAGAATTCTGTGGTTCTTATTTTGTGATTGGCAAGATAGACATGTGATGGTCGTGGTGTTGCTCAAATGTCTCACTTTTCTCAGTTTCTCATTGATCCCTAGTTTCCTAATGAAATAAATGTTTAAAATGTACTTCTGATTTATTGTATTATTACCAACGCTCCTTCTCTCCTTATTCCTTTTCTTCTCTGCAAGCCACTCTTTTTTATTTTAATTCTTATTGTTGTATCTAAGTTGAGGGCTGCGGGCACGTCAAACTACTTTGCTTATTTCTGTAGCCCTCCTGCATCTAATGTAGGCCTATATTAATTAAGCATTCAATATATTTGTTTAATTTAGTTTATTATCTGTATAAAATTATATACACTTGAAATATTGTATAAAATCATATTATGATCATGAAAATTTATGATGAAAAAAAAAAAGATGCAGAAACTAATAAATCAAATCAAATCAAATCAAATTTATTCATGCCTATATTCTTATTTTTTTCTATGCAAATCACAGCGACTTAAAAAAAAAAAAATACCGGTAAAGAAAATTTTGATAGCCCTGTCCTTCACCTTTAGAAATGTAGGAGCTTGATTCCTATGGGACACACAATGAGGTATTGAAATTGTCCTTGAGTTTATTTGTCGGAAGTAGGAAGTAGGTGGAATCTTTCTTGACATCTTCCTTGTGAATTTTCCTTTCTCATATTTGTCATTCCTTCCTCTTCCTCTCTGTCGTTCTTTTTCTGTCCCTTCTATTAATCAAACCTGCACTCCCTGCGTTTTTCTATTTCTCTCTCTATTTCTCTCTTTACTCTCTCTCTCTCTCTCTCTCTCCCCTGTTTCCCTCTCCTCCTGTCTCCACCGTCTATCTCCCTTTTCCCACATATTTTCTCTCTCTTCTCTTCTCTCTTCTCTCCTCCTCTTCTCTCTCTATCTCATTCTTCTTTCTCATTTCTCTTCCTAAACCCTATCTCCTTCTCTCTCTTTCTCTCTCTGTATGAATATCTTTTTCTTTGATAATTTCTCTCTTCACTTTAACACACAAGAACAATGGGAAAGAAAAAAGATGAACATTCTTGGCATGTTCACACTGGAGCAGAAACAGCCTGCACAGTATACCTTGCTAGATCCATGATCTGTTCGGTACGAGTGTGAACGTTCTCAATGTTTTTAGCTTGCAGCATCACACCTGTCCTCGTTACATTTCTAGCACATGAACATGTGTCCGCATATATGTTGATAGGAAAACATGGATACCATACACCAAAACACTCTGAGTGGGACTGAAGCTCAAATATTTGTAGCTTCAAAAGTATGCTTATTTGTTACCACTTCTGCAAAGTCGGCCGTCTTTGTCATTTTCTGCACCCCATGATCAGTGTTTATTATTTGTTTGTTTGAATATTTAAGATTGAAAGTGTAAAAAATATAACTTCTATTGGTAAATCAATAATGATAAATCAAAAATCTTTTTTCTTCTCTTTCTTGCAGTGCAATCCAGGGATGGGGACCAATATTTTTTACAACCTTCTGTACACCCCACCCACAAAGATCATGATGTTGACTGGTTGCAGCAGTGTGTCAACACCGGTGGCTGAGGCAGCTAGGATGTGGAACCTAGTGGTGGTAAGTTGTATCGCGATGATAATAGAAATGGTGGTGGTGGTGTTGTGGTGGTGTTGTGGTGGTGGTGGTGGCGGCGGCGGCGGCGGCGGTGGTGATGGTGGTGGTGGTGTTGATGATGATGATGATGATGGTGTTGTGATAGTGGCAGTGCTGGGGTGGGGATGGAAAAGGTGGCGATTGTTGTGGAAATGGTGATAATGGTGGTGGTGGTGGTGGTGGTGGAGATGGTGGTGGGGTGATGCTGGTGAGATGATGGGATGGTGGTGGTGGTTGTGGTAGGGATGATAATGATAGGGATTGGTAAGTTAGGGGTAGGGCAGTGTTTATTGTAAGAATGGGAATGATGGGGTGGATGGTGGTGGATGGTAGTGGTGGTAATGGTTACATTGGGTGGTGGTAGTGGTGTATATAGTAGTGATGGGGATGATGATAGAGGTTGTTAAAGGGAAAGTCCACCCCCAAAATAAGTTTGTTTCGATAGAGGCAGAATAATAAGAAAATCAGGTGAGTGAAAGTTTGAGCAAATTCTGAATGAAAATAAGAAAGTTATGAATTATTGAAGTTGTGATCAATCAAATACAAATTGGCAACTCTGTGACTTATTATACGAGCTCTCCTTCATTTGCTTTGTGCATAATATTCCATAAAATCATGTTTTCTTCGTTATTGATGACGGAATATATATTTGTTCCTTGCAGGGGGAGTATAGAAACATATTTGCAGTTATTATATTTAGGGTGAATGTATGGTTGAAATTTTTCTTGAGGGAAAATGAAAATTTTAGATTTTTTTAGTACTGAGCAAATGGAGGTTGAGCTCGCATGATACGTCATAGAGTTGCCAATTTGTGTTTGATTGATCACAACTTCAATAATTCATAACTTTCTTATTTTCATTCAGAATTTGCTCAAACTTTCACTCACCTGATTTTCTTATTATTCTGCCTCTATCGAAACAAACTTATTTTTGGGGTGGACTTTCCCTTTAAGATTGGGTTCCACATAAATTGATGTTCACGGTAATGCTTTTAACTATTTTAAGACACAGATGTAAAATCAGTAGTTGGCTAAATGGTTGAGCCCCCCCCCAAAAAAAAAAAAATGGAAACAAAAATGGTAAAATCACCAATGCAATAGTAATAATAAACCATAAATCAAACTGTAGTTATGGATTTTATAGATATTATCTACCAAATCCTAAGGGAACAGAAAGGAAAAGCGACACAGTTACAAAATTGCTTTTACTCATAGGAAATTGCCATGTTTATGTCTCAAATTTCCAAAACAACACTCTCAATCCAGCAATATTTAGATCAGCTGTGGAAGCATTACCACTCGACCACTTACAATTAGGCCTGTCCTCATCAGCTTGAGATTGCCAAATATCCCGCTATTTGAGCTATCCTGATTGCAAATTATCCAGTTAATTTGCATCTGCATCAGCCCGAAGTTGCAAATAGCGGGATACTTGGTCAAGATAATCATCCCATGATATCTTGGGTTAGTTTGCAAAATATCCCGCTATTTGGCAAAATATCCTACTATTTGCCCGGTGCCTCCTCACCAGCCCGAAGACTCGCACTATGCGTGAACGCTGAGTCTCGAGCTGATGAAGACGCGATTTGTAACTTCGGGATAATGTCCAAAATCAGAAATAGTGGGCTATTTGGCAATCTCGAGCTGATGAAAACAGGCCTTTTGATCAGCTGTGTCTAAGAAATATGACTTTCAAAATAACAATCCGCTGGACAATAAACAAGATTACAGAATTTGTTTATCTGATCAATGTGATTAGACTAACCAGAGCCGGAGCCTGTGGCAATTATTAGTTTAAAAGCTTCTCAGCGTGTTACCAGTCTTTAACATTTAATCCAATACTCTGTCTTGTAAACAAACGCTAGTTGTTCCTATGCTGTACCAGATGAAGAAAAGGTTTTTCAACCTGAACAATACAGTTTAGTTAAGGCTTTCCTTAAACAAGTGCTTAAGTTGTAAAGAATTAACACAACTTGCAACTTATCTTTACACTGTGAAATATGTGCTGTACAACATTTATCCATTTATATCACCAAAAATGAGAATGTCTTGATATGACAAAATATTGACCAACGATCCTTTTTGGTGTTACTAACACTAAATGGTTATATCAACATATTTTCTTTTTCCTCTTTGGATATAAAATACATGGGGAAAGACATTGGGGACCCATTGCACGGAATCATTGATTTTGTTATTCACCTATACATGAGCCTTTTTAAAATCGTACCTTGGCCTTTTTAAAATCATACTTTGGGAATCATATCATACCTTCGAAGTGGGCTTAAAGTTATACAAAATTTGTTTTGCTTCTGTAAAGTGTGAAAGGCTCTGTGCAGTTTTTTAAGAACATGGGCAGTCTTGAATAACCCATCAAGGTCAAAACATTCTTTCATTCTACATGCCCATAACTTTAATAGTTTAGATACTCAACTGCTTTGATTGATTGACAGCAGAAATGAAAGTCACGTATTGCAATCATTATCCAAGCCTTCAAAAACTTCAGAAGAGAGTTTATTATGACAAACAAACAGTTCTGAATCATGCTTGGAAGAAAAAATAAATAGAATTTCATTTGGAAGAATTCGAATATAATGAGATTATTTCATTAGGTTTGATGACTTTTAGTAAGACATGCACAGCGGGTTTGGAAAGCTAGTCTATTAAAGAGAAAAAGAGTAATTATGGAGCTAATGTGCTTCAATACACCGTAATAATATTGACACAATCAGGTATATTTTTATGTTATAGCCCAGGGAATAAATGAAGTTTTACTTGAAATGAATTCTTGGCCAAACAAGACCCCACTCCCTCTCTCTTCCTCTTCTCTCTCTCCCTCTCCCTTTTTATGTCTCTCACTCAATCTCTGACTTTCTCTCCATCTCTCTCTCTCTCTCTCTTTCTCTCTTTTAGAGATGTTATAGGGAGAAATATATGCTATCTCTGTATCTCTCTCACTCCGTCTCTGACTTTCTCCCCATCTCTCTCTCTCTCTCTCTCTTTCTCTTTCTCTCTTTTAGAGATGTTATAGGGAGAAATATATATATATTAGTCTGCCTTATCCAATTTATTATTTATATATATATATATATATATATATATATATATATATATATATATATCTTTATTTCTCTCACTCCGTCTCTGATTTTCTCCCCATCTCTCTCTCTCTATCTCTCTCTCTCTTTTAGAGACGTTATAGAGAGAAAGAAGAGAGATAAAGAATCAAACTATGGGTGATAAAAAGATAGGACAAAAGAAAATAAAAATTAAATCAGGATCTAAAGAGAAGAATTATAGAATATTTGGGAGAAATAGAGAAGGGTGGAAAAGAAATATACAGGAGAGAATACATTTGATAGGACTGATAAGTGTGAGAAAGATCAAGGAGGAGAGAGAGAGAGTGAAAGGGAGAAAGAAAGAGAGAGAGAGAGAGAGAGAGAGAAAGAAAGAGGAGAGAGAGAGAGAGAGAGAGAGAAAGAAAGAGAAAGAGAAAGAGAGAAAGAGAGAAGAGAAAGAGAGAAAGAGAAAGAGAAAGAAAGAAACTGAGAAAGGAGAGATGTAGTAGGAGCCAGGGAAAGACACTCACGCACAGAGGAAAGAAAATCTGTAAATTGAAGGAGAATGATTCGAGTTTGTAAGATTCAGACATGTTGTTTTTGTTAGGTCAGTCTGTGCCTGTGGAGTGCATAATTGAATCTAGCTGTGTATCATGTAACCCAATCACTTCAGTTCAGGGGGTATCCATTTCAACTGACATCGATACATCGAGGGCTCCTTTTTCAAGTTCAAATTTTGTTTACTATCAATGGACTGATTACCATACATTGTTTATGTGGGAAGATGGGGGGAGGTCCTTGTCACAAATGTCATTTCACAGTCGCTTACATTGCCTTCTAGGGTCCATTAATAGTTTGGGTAAGTTACAGCAATTTGATGATTGCATTGAAAAGGATAGGATGTGTTAAGATATAAAATAACAATTGCCTGAATCTGTTCTATTGGTTTACATTCAAGAAGGCAGCGTAGCAAGATACAGTGGCACAAAAATACGCAGCCAGATTGCAAAGTGTGTATTTGTTGAAAATGATAATTTGATGGCATTGTGATAGAACCATATTTCTCCAGGACAAGGGACTAATAGATATCCCTAATACCCTGATAAGACTCGATCTACCCTCCCCCTCAAAAAAAAAAAAAAAAAAACCCATTATTTAGATATTTCATATTACAACTGTTTATGGACCAATATTACTGACTGTTATATTTGTTTGCGTTACAGACGCAACATTTCACTTATCTATCTAAATAGATCACAGAATACTTGAAAATATGATAAAGATATACTTTCTCATTAAACTATCTCAGAAACCAGTGTAGTACAATTACCTATAAGCAAGTAAATCATCTGTTCACATTCTTCTCCATCCATTCCCTCTGCCCCCCCCCCCCCTTCCAGCTTGCCTTTGGAGCCAGCTCCCCCGCCTTGTCCAACAGGAAGAGGTTCCGCACTTTCTTTCGGACACACCCCTCTGCAACCCTCCACAACCCCACCCGCATCAAGCTGGCCAGGACGTGGGGCTGGAAACGTATCTCTGTCATCCAAGAGACTCAAGAAGTCTTCACATCAGTAAGTTACATTGAACTTTGAACTTTTACCTCCCAAAGGTTCATTATTTATTTTGCTTTATCAATATGATTATCCAAAACATCCCTAAAAAAAAACAATTTTTAGTTGAACTGGCTAGGATTTGGGGGAATGCATCTCTGTCATCCAAGAGACTCAAGAAGTCTTCACATCAGTAAGTTACATTGAACTTTGAACTTTTACCTCCCAAAGGTTCATTATTTATTTTGCTTTATCAATATGATTATCCAAAACATCCCTAAAAAAAAAACAATTTTTAGTTGAACTGGCTAGGATTTGGGGGAATGCATCTCTGTCATCCAAGAGACTCAAGAAGTCTTCACATCAGTAAGTTAAATTGAACTTAGTACTTTGACCTCTCAAAGGTTCATTATTGCACTTGTAATAATACCATATTTCTTTTGCTTCATCAGTATGATTGTCTGAAGCATTCACAAAATAATAAACAATTTTTAGTTGAACTGGCTAGGATTTGGGGGAACGCATCTCTGTCTTCACATCAGTAAGTTAAATTGAACTTTGAACTTTAACCTCTCAGTACTACCATATATTCTTGCCTCATTAATCTAAAATTTTAATGATCTGAAAATGTCTTATATAAACACTATTTGGTAATTTGTCTTTAAATAATCTTGAACAATGAACTTCAACCTTTAGAAAAGCCAATGAATCTGTTTAAAAAGCCACTCATGTTTAAGCCAGATTGATGGTATGGATGATTTTTTTTTATGAAATCAACCCAACCCGATTCCAGGATTTAAACCTTAAACCACATTACTATGCCATCTTCCAATCTTTCCTAAAAGATGTGCAAACTTCAAAGAAAGTCACATAATTTGCTTTGATAGAAGAAAAGGTAATTGCTCAGGGGACAGGAACATTTTTTGATACAATTCTATTATTAGGTTGAAGCTAATGAAATACAAACAACTATGGGCTATAGTCACTTCTTATACACTGAAACATTGTTTTCCCCCTTCACAGCGCTTTAGAATGAAAGTCTGGATTTGACTACCTCTAGGAGTTTTACCATCAAAACAGGTGTTGAGCTTGTTGAATCTAATACTTCAATCAATTTTTCAAAGAAAAACCTGTTTTAACATACAAGTCTTTTTTTGAAAATAAGAATCATAATAGGTGCATTTATAGTACGCACAAATCTGTTCCAGGTGATGCCCAAGGCAACTGCGAAGTGCTGTTATTACCCTGGCTTTCTCCAAAGCTCCCTTGTTAAAGGCATCGTTTAAAAATGTTAACTCTGAGATGCACGCCCCTACATGTTTTCAGTGTCTGTGATATGGTGTAATATTGATGCCCTAAAAAATCGCGCTTCAAAATGATCAAGAAGTGCCTCAAAAAGTAACAATCCTTGAGTGACCGGTTTTATTATACTCATTTTCCCACAATAGACTATTGTTATAAAAACCGTTAGGAAAACGCAATATTTAATTTCGATTTCAAATCATAACAATCAGACAGGCGATCGGCTTGTAAAAGTCATGGGGTTCCTGACTGACCTAAAGGTTTATAATCATCATCGCAGCATGAGCTAAATCCAGGATTTCAGGTTCTGAGACAAAGTTACCAAATCCCTTTAAGGTGCTGAACAATTTCAAGGAATAAGTTCCTACCAGGTACCCATGTACTCAATCTGGTTGGAGGGACGCAATTGTAGATTATTGACTTGCCAAAGGACATTAGTGCAACAGCGGGGCTTGAACCGTAAATCATGTGATCCACACTCCACTAGATCATGACATAACTCATAAATAAATAAATGAATAGATTTTTAGCTCCTTTTCTACTCCTTTAGTGTACTCTCTTGTCCTTTTCTTTTAGACCATTGAAGACTTGGAGCAGCGTGTCAAGGCAGAAGGCATGGAGATCGTCAGTCGGCAAAGCTTCCTCACCGTGCCTGACAACGCGGTCCAGAACTTGAAGCGGCAGGATGCACGCATCATCGTTGGAGTGTTCTACGTTGGCATGGCCAGGAGAGTCTTTTGTGAAGTAAGTCTGAGAATAAGAAGCAGTAGTTCTTCTTTTCTTCTTATTAGGTGGTCTGTTATCAACAGACCACCTATTGATTTCGTCAGAATTTTCTTTATTTATTTATTATTATTATTTATTTTTATTTCTTCCCGTTTTTTGTGCCCAGGATAACTCACAGTTTGGTTTAGTCAATTTGATTCAATTTTAGCACAGTCATAGGTCATTGTCATGACACGTGACTAGAACATTTTCAAGGTCATCAAGTCATCGTGACGTCATCAAGGCGCCATTTTGTGAAATCACATTATCCATCATATCTTCATGATGCATCAGCAAAGGTCATTCATATTCATATCATATATACTTTAGGTCAAGGGTCAACAGGTCATGTCATTAAAGGTCACATAAAGGTCATGACGCGCGCGTACGTGTGCGTCAAAATTTTAAAAAGCTCAAAATCACTTAACTACTAAAGGAGAGTACGAATCAGGTCATTTTAAGCATTTCAAAATTTTCCGTCCGTACATGTCCCCGCGCGCGTTGCGCGCACTCATGACGCGCGGAAAAAGTCAAATTCAAAATATTTACATGATTTGGATTCCTCTTAACGTAATTGACAATTTACATTAATTTCAGTCACTCTTGACCTTTAATAAGGCCGTGAGCGTGCGTCAAAGTTCAAATTCCGCGCGTGCTGCTATGGGCAATATAATGCAAATTTCATCAAAAACATGCCATTTTAAAAATCGAAATAGCTCTTCAGATAGTCCATCGACCCCCGATTTTTATATCATGGTTGGAGAAAGCATGAGTTGGAGATATGATTTCATACCACCCTGACTCGTACAAAGTGTAACAAAGTCAACATATTGACATCTAAACTCAACAAAATGTATTTTGTTGATGACGTCATTTTTGTCTTTGTTTAATTGAGATTATCTCACTTATCGGTGATAGATCTTCTCCCAGATTTTGATATGTTGTAGCTGAGATAATTTTCTATCAGAAATATACCATTTATTTTTCATTTAGATGACGTCATCATAGTTAAATATTCGATTAAAGGCGACAATGCATAAATTGTCATATTTGCGTGTTATGTCTATGGGAGGTCATTTTTTTCAAAACATGAATCTGCATGACAAGGTGTTTTGACCAGTATCTCGGTTGTTATTCAACATTTTTCTCACAAATTTAGTATGTTGTAGCTGAGACTATTTGCTATCTAAATATTTCCTCATTTTTTTAATCAGTTGTCAGGATCATGCTTATGCTCATCATCATCATTAACATTATCGTTTTTATCGTCATATAACATTATCATTATCATCATCATCATCATCATCACCTTTACTATCATGATCATCACCATGTTCATCATGATCATCATTGTTTACATGTCTATATAACTTCTCCCATTCTCAAATCTATCATAAGACTTAGACAGACCACCTTATTCGTCTTTGTGACGAATTAAATTCTAGTTGTTACTGTTGTTGTTTTTCTCATCTGTCTCTTTCTCTTTCTCCTTCTTATCATTCTTCTTCATTTTCTTTTTCTTATTGTTCTCCTTGTTCTTGTTCTTCTTAAGTAAGAGTTCTTCTTTTTCTTGTTCTTCATGTTGTTGTTGTTGTTATTGTTCTTCTCCTTCTTCTTTTCTTCTTTTTCTCCTTTTATTGAAGTAAGTGCCACCTTCCTAGTGTATCTGTAATTATGTAGAACTTGAAATGGAACATACAGCATGAGTGACATATTTGAGACTTATGCAAACTTGATTAAATCTTAAAGGATCTTGAAACAGACATGAAGGTTACTCAAGAACACAGGTGACATACATGTCAAGAAAATACGAATCACACATGACATATTCATGAAATATACACGAAACATACCAGAAACTGATGAAACATATATATATGCATCAAAACGATTAAAAAAAAAAACCTATGTATAATCTGCAGATTGTAGTTTCGCCATGCATGCACAATGTTTGGGAGTGGAAGAACTGCAGAATCATTCTGGACTTAACAATGAAATGCAAGCTGGTTTTAAAATAATGTTACTTTCAATATTGTAATTTCCGCCTTTAATTCAAAGAACAATCTATTTCTGTCTTTAAGAGTCACACAAACATCTATGTAATGTACACATGAAACTATCATTCCAGTGCTTGTAAGACATATAGTTTCGACTGAACTAATAAAGGCGCAGGGAATTGGAGACTCTTTACAAAGCTGATAAAGATATATAAAGATAACAATTTTATTTTTGTTTAACATTCATCTCGAATGAACATGCATCTCGAATGAACATGAACCAGAAAATTCTTGAGGTGACTCACCAATGTAGTCAGAATCCTATATCTTTGAAGAAAGCAAAGTTATTTCACAGAACTCATTCATTTGATACATTTTAGCATTGAAAATCATTCTTTATCACATAACGGATGTATTTTTGTACCCTTAAAAGCAAAGTTATTCCACAGAACTCATTAATTTGATACATTTTAGCATTGAAAATCATTCTTTATCACATAACGGATGTATTTTTGTACCCTTGAAAGCAAAGTTATTCCACAGAACTCATTAATTTGATACATTTTAGCATGGAAAATCATTCTTTATCACATATCAGATGTACTTCTGTACCCTTGGAAAGGAACAGGGAATCGATTGATTGAAATAAATGGTCTCCCGAACCGACAGGAGATGGTCTCATTTTTGTTTAACATTCGTCTCCGATGACTTTGAACAGAAAATGTGTAGGAGTCAAACTGCTATATCTTCAGAAGATTCAAAGACATTCTACAGAACTCATTAATCTAATGTTTCATTCTTTGTCACATGAGAGGTATTTCTGTACTCTAAGAAAGGAAAACAGGGGATCGATAGATTGAAATAAAAGTCTCTTGAAGCAGCAGGAAATGGTTTCTTGTTTGTATTATAACTCCAATGGCTTTGTACCAGAAATTCAAAGGGTGAATCATTGCACGGTCATTTAGTCATGGACGACCTTTTTGGACAAAAGTTTAGAGTTAGATGTAGAAAAATGTAACGCTTTCCAGTGAAGTTCTTTATATTTCACTGTGAGGGGTTTCACTAAAAGTTTGAAAAGACGATGATATTTGTCTGTCATGTTTTTCTTATGTCATGGAAAGACAAGATGCTTTCACTTAGCCAGTCGACATTGATCATTTACAAATATCATCCAAACAGGTTTACCCATTGACTTCTGAATTCTCTAATTGCCATAGGCTTAATACAAGATCCACCCTGTTCCAGTAGGCAATGTGTTAAAGCCTATCTGTACTAGTTTACAGGAGGTATTAGACCACCCTGCAAGGTCACTTGACAGGTGGTTATCTCATCAAATCAGCTCTCACTTAACATAAGAAAAAGAGGATCATGGGGGATCAATGGTCACCGATTAGGCATTGTTTGCTATATAGAGGGTGCTATTAAGAGTGCAGTGGGGCTTTAAGATGCTATTTTCTTGACTCATTACATGCCAAACAAAAGGAATGGAAAGTGCCAGAAGCTTTAATGTCTTTTACCTTCAAGTAACTTGGACGTAATTGTGTGAGAGAAAATGTCATCTACTAGTTGAGAGCCAGAAGGGCATTAACTCCATGTAAAGTATATCTGTTAACTCCCTTCTTGCTCCCAACAGACAATATTCGTGCCTTCAAGCCTTGACAAATGCAGAGATGCCAACTGTTCCATTTTTGCCGTATTTGTTCCGTTTTTTTGCTATGAATGCGTCAGTACGTCTTTTGTATGTTTTGTTACGTTTAAAAAAAAAAAAAAAAAAATTATTGATGATTTTCTCAATTTCCGATCATGGGCTTTGTGTCGTAAGTGTATTATGGACCTATGTCTTCAAACGATGCACGCAGGACGGTGATCCGGGCCCCAAACTGCGCACATTGCGAACAACCCATGTGTACTGTATTGCACATCGCGCTCTGATCTGGGTACGTATACGTGGTACTGCCGTTTTTTTAAGCTGCTTGATTGGGCGATATGTTAAGGTGAGAGATTTTTTTCAAAAATACTTTTTTTTTGGTCCAAAAATACTGTTTTTTGCTCTTAAGAATACTTTTGTTGTTGATGAAGGTTGGCATCTCTGCGAATGTGGTATCATGCATAACCTCAACTCTAAGGAAGCTAGGCCAGCTTCTTTTGATGGGTTAACTGTTTAATATTCTTAGTTCTTAGAAAGTATTGATGTGCCTGTAAATTATCCTTTGGGATTAATTGACCAGGTAACTTAGGAAGAATACACATTGCCCGAGGGCAGAAGTGAACTGCATAATCTAGGTTATTTTATTTCCATGTTTGTCATTGTCTGTTGAGCAGGTTCTACAACACATCGTCTTTTTTTAAAGCCAAAAGGGCTTTAACTCATATACTTTAACACAACGCCCAAATGAATCTGTACAGACATAATCTATGCTGTTGGCTCAGTCGGTAAAGCTTTTTCCTATTGAACCAAAGATTGTGGGTTTGAATCTTACACAGGCGGATGACTGAAGTTTGCGTTGTATTTTACCATGCCCCTCCTCTGTTTCAAAGACGCAGGATATGTTAAAGTGGAAAACACACTGTCCATAGGAAAGTATGTTAAATGGAGGCCCTGTGTAGAGGAGAGTCGCCACCTGTGCATGTTAGGAACCCACTGCGCTATTTGTATAAGAGTAGGGGGAAAACCCCGGTGTAATTGTCCACCTACACACCCCTAATCAGTTACACTGGGAGGAAAGACCCGAGGGTTTCAGAGGTTCAGTTTACTTTTTGCCTCCCGGGCACAGGTAACATTAATACTTCATAACAATGATATTAATGCTCCGGTTATAATTTCCCTGTGGTATGTTTTATGCATGCAAACATGGTTCCAGAATTCATCCTTGTAACAGAAAAAATATACCTAACTCCAACCCCCTCACCATAAAATGTTAACTCGATTACAATCCTCACTAGAATCCTACCCTTTGGGGAAAAAAAGCTTTGGAGCAATAA